ATAATGTAATATGTTTTATCTGTAATTTGGTTGTTGTTGTATTGCGTTTATGAACTGTACTTTACTTAAATGACTTCTTTTAAATGTGTACGGTTGTGTATTTTATTGCCATTTGGCGTTCAAATAACAGTTTCATTACATAATTATACATTATGCACGTTATCCATGGATGCTAGTGAAAGGTATCCTGCATGCAGCTATTTGTGGTCAACAAAATGTAGACTAAAAATGGCTGACTGATGGGCATATTTTGTGTAACATATGTTTTGTCTCAACCTAGTTTATAAGCCTGTACATCTCATTTCAGAAATAGTTGTTGTATTAGATGATGAAACTAATTGTACTATAGAAGTGACTGGTTGTGACCCAGGCACTAGTCCAGAAACAATAGAGCTGTATTTTGATAACAAACGTCGATCACCTAATTGACGTAAATATACATGCATTAAACGAAAATATTGCGAGGAGGTCAGAGTCATCTTGGTCAGAAGATATTAGCCACAAACCAAAGTTACGTGTCTATGCAACTTTTAAATTTGAATATAAACCAGAAAAGTACGTGCTAATAAATTTAAGTCGGGGTCAAAGGTCACTATTAGCTCAATTGCGCATGGGCATTTTGCTCTCCGTATTGAGACTGGGCGATTTAGACACGAGCCTGTAAGTGAACGAATATGTAAATTTTGTGATGCAAACGTTGTTGAGGACGAAATACATTTTTTGTTTGACTATCAGCAATACAATGAATTGAGGCATGAGTATCTAGATTCTATTCTCAATGAAATAACTTGCATATCACGGGAACAAATACTGGTTCGTTTATTTTCAGGGCCAATAAGAAAACTTGCTCTTTTTATAGAAAAGGCTTTTTACAAAAGAAGAAATTTGTTTTACGTCTGAATTTAATGAACTACACGATTGTATTGTTGATACATTATTTCAAGCTCTTTTTCATAACCTTTATTTGTAAATGTAACCATTATTATATAAGGTGACTTATAAGTCCACTGGGCTGGGCAGTTCTTTGAGCTGCAGGTCACTATAATAGATAAATTACTTACTTACTTACATCAAACGATACAAATACAGATATTCAGATTTGACTATCAATTGAATCATTGCGATGAGTAAATATAATTAAAACGAGTAAACATAATTATAATAAAACATAATCGAGCGTGCATCAATGTAAAATGACCAATAAAGGGTTTATTTAACTCAGCTGTGTTTGACATATTGCAATATGAACCGAATCATGTTTTATAAAGTTTTACATGTCTTATTTCAGAACAACTTGGTGATAGTAATTGTACTATAGAAGTGTCTGGTTGTGACCCGGATACAAAATCAGAAACAGTAGGATTGTATTTTGACAACAAACGTCGGTCTGGAGGTGGTGACGTTAGTGAGTGTCGACAGGATGGTGACACGTTTTTTGTGACATTTGAAAACAAAGATGGTTAGTAAGAATATTATATTATTGTGTTTTAATGCTGTCTGTAAACTTAGCTAGGTATTATCTCTTATTAGCATCTATTATAAAATATAACAATATACATTGAATGTGATATGCCTTAGCTGTCAATGTTTTACAGTTTTACGAAATGGGAAAGCACATAAATTATAATGACTCCAGTTTAAAATGTCCGAGTTGCCGCTATTTTTTTTTTTTTTGTCTTTTACTACTACAATTTTTCTAATTCATATTTACATACGAAATTTATTATTTGTTCAGCTCTGATTCGAGTTTTGGAACAACCAAGCCATGTTATTAACAACAAACAAATAATGTTGCGGAAAGCAAAACGAGATACTACTAAATCTATCCAGCAAACTGGTGGACAAGTTCAAGGTAAATTTACTGTTTTCACCTTCCTAAAAAATGTCGTTGTACATAAACTTGTTATTATATAATAAAAGCCGAATGCGGACCCCAAAATTGTGTCCATTACTACAAAATTGATAGATACCAACCTGCGTCGACAATTGCCTTGGTCTCCCTTGTGATGTGTGTATAAAATATTAGTTCCTTGTGAAATGCTGAGTAATAAATTATGAGTATGTTCTTTTCTATTTCAGAAATGCTCGTTGACACCAATTGTACTATAGAGGTTTCTGGGTGTGATCCGGACACTAAGACAGAAACAATAGAGCTGTATTTTGAAAACGAACGTAGGTCTGGAGGTGGTGACGTCAGTGAGTGTCGACAGGAAGGTGACACGTTTTTCGTGACATTTGAAAACAAAGATGGTTAGTAAGAATATTATATTTTTTCTGTTTTAATGCTGTCTGTAAAGTGAGCTAGGTATTTTTTTTTGCAAGAATACACGAAGCAC